CGGCGACAAAAAGTCGCCTTACAGGAACATGCACTGTGAGAAAGTGCAAATGGCGTTTTTCGAACCCTGACTTCTTTCGCACAGTGCAAAGGCCAAAAATCAGTCCGGCGACATTCCGGAAGGACCAGTAATTTCCCCACAGACTGATTAATGCCCAGACATTTCGCCTTTATTCGAATATGGGTCTCACAGAAAAACACTCTTTCTTTGGCCCTAAAAATCCTTTTTTTTTGGTCCTCGTCATTTTTTGCGTGCACCGTCAGAAAGAGTAAAAAGAAATTGGGATTCTTTTTATTTTTTGGAGGGGAAAAGGGAGGCTTTGAGTTAGTTCTGGGGGCTCAAATGGGCCGTAACGAAATTTTGGGAAAGGCTCTGGGTTCTTTTTGAGTGTGTTTTCGGGTTTGAGGACCTCGTTGGAACAAAAATTTGGAATTTTTAAGCGATTTCCGCAACAATTCTCTGACCAAAAGCGCGGTTCGGTTCTAAAACGAACGTCGTCAATAGGGGAAAACGACAATTGGGGGAAAACAAACTCATTTTTTCGCTTTTTTGGCCAGCCAAAACCATAGGATGGGTGAGCAAAGCATGGTTTTTGACTGGCCGAAAAAGTGAAAAAATGATTTTATTTTCCCCAATTGTAGTTTTCCCCTATTGACGACGTTCGTTTTAACACCGAACTGCGGTTTTTGGTCAGAGAATTTTTGCGAAAGTCGCTAAAAATTCAAAATTTTTGTTCCAACGAGGTCCACAAAAACCGAAAACACACTCAAAAAGAACCCACAGCTTTCCCAAAATTTCGTTCCGGCCCATTTGACCCCCCATAACTAACTCAAAGCCTCCCTTTTCCCCAAAAACCGTCATTTTCGCCAATCGTCGCGGTTCATTCATAAATATTTTCATTTTTCGACAAAATCCCGTTAATTTCCCGGAAACCATTACCTTACGTTATCTCCCGCTTTTAGAAGGAATAATTCTCCACCCCTATATCCCATTCTCCCTTGGCCTCCCTTTCATCCGATCCCCCTAATCCGACCGTACTTTCCGGGACTTCAAAGTCCCTGAAACCTTTTCCTATCCCTCCATTTTTCATGTTTTTTGGGGAATCCACTTAAAAATTCCTTTCAAATTTTTCGAATTTCCATCCCCCTCCTGTTTGGCCAGCACATATGATGAACATTTTTGAAAAGGGATTTTGAGAACGGGGAGAAAAGTTGGGCCAAAGGTTGGAGGAGGATTTCAGGTTAAACGAGTTGAAAAAGCTTTCTTAATGTTTTTTGTCGTTTATCAATCTGTCGGGGCAATAATGAGGATTTGTCGCAGTAATATATTTCACTTGATCGCAGTCGCCCACCAATTCCCAAACGCGACGAATCCACATTATTTTCCCGACAGACTAATAGGTGGGCAGAAGGGCCTTCACACGTCTCATGTGTATTATAATTTCAGCGCGCGCTATAAGCTTTTGTTACCTTTTCAGATTTTTTTGTATCTCTGTAAAGCGCGAGCCCAAAAAATTAATTTCTGAGAAAATTCAAATTTAAATTTGCCCCAAGTTTCCTTAAAACACGATTTCTGAGTCAGTGAAGCAGCCGCCAGTTAGGCCGTGACATAGAAAAATTCGATCTCGGGTTTTTCGCTTCAATGTAACCGTACCCGTCCTAAAAAGCTTGTGGCAAAACATTTTTGACCATTTCGGCCGTTAACACATTTATTTTTACAATTTATTAGTTATACAGTAATCCCCCATAAATCTGTAACGAACTCACAGAAATTCATGGAATTGTGAGTACTTATGTTTTCGCACTCGTAGATTTCAAAAAAAAGTGGTTTTGACTCATTCGGATTACTGTAACATACCAAACTTCTGGTTCGGCCGCATAAAATCGGCCATAAAAAGTTTGTTTCTGAAAACCCGCAGCTGAATTTTACATATGTTAATCAGCATAAAATTCTGATATATAAACGTTAAAAAAAAGTGCAAAAAGTGGTGCGGCATTTTTCATGGTGTAGTGGTTTTTGGTCAGAACTAATAATCTGACGTCCCGGGTTCGAATCCGCCTGGATGCAAATACCACAAATTAGACGCAAATCACCTTTAATGTAGTCTTGAGGTCTGTATGAGGGAGACTGAGTAATTTTAGACCTATATGATATCTTTATTTAAGGTAAAAATGGATTTTATATAATTTTAGAAGATGAATACGTGAAAAATAAAACGTCTTCAAATCGTTTGAAATTGACAACACAGATTCTAGGAATAATTATAAGAAACTTTTCTGTTAGCTTTTTTTATAGGTTGCTGTATCGTGGATTACTGTAACATAAAACTTTTTTTTCTTAACTGTTGTTTTCTTCTAAATTCTTCTGTGAAATTTTGATTTTTATTTGGTTAGCTTCTTTGAACGGTTGAAGTCATAGATGAAACATATTTAAAATAAAATTCCATCTCTTTTCCAGTGTGTATTCGTATCATCGTCGATTGGTGAAATTGCCAGATCTTTCTCAGGTCTTTCGAATCCTACGGCCATGAAAAATTTTTTGTGTGCCAACCAACTCGTTCTCAACCATTCCTATCATAAAAGTGATAGTCCGATGCCTCTGCGCTCTGTGGTATATGAAAAATAAAATTGGGGTTTTTGTTACAGTAATCCATGACACAGTAACCTATCAAAAAAAGCCAACAGAAAAGTTTCTTATAATTATTCCTAGAATCTGTGTTGTCAATTTCAAACGATTTGAAGACGTTTTATTTTTCACGTATTCATCTTCTAAAATTATATAAAATCCATTTTTACCTTAAATAAAGATATCATATAGGTCTAAAATTACTCAGTCTCCCTCATACAGACCTCAAGACTACATTAAAGGTGATTTGCGTCTAATTTGTGGTATTTGCATCCAGGCGGATTCGAACCCGGGACGTCAGATTATTAGTTCTGACCAAAAACCACTACACCATGAAAAATGCCGCACCACTTTTTGCACTTTTTTTTTACGTTTATATATCAGAATTTTATGCTGATTAACATATGTAAAATTCAGCTGCGGGTTTTCAGAAACAAACTTTTTATGGCCGATTTTATGCGGCCGAACCAGAAGTTTGGTATGTTACAGTAATCCGAATGAGTCAAAACCACTTTTTTTTGAAATCTACGAGTGCGAAAACATAAGTACTCACAATTCCATGAATTTCTGTGAGTTCGTTACAGATTTATGGGGGATTACTGTATAACTAATAAATTGTAAAAATAACTGTGTTAACGGCCGAAATGGGCAAAAATGTTTTGCCACAAGCTTTTTAGGACGGGTAAGGTTACATTGAAGCAAAAAACCCGAGATCGAATTTTTCTATGTCAAGGGCTGCTACACTCACTCAGAAATCGTGTTTTAAAACTTGGCCGTCGCACTTCAAAAAACCCTCGAATTTCGTATTTCAGTCCTCATCTTGCTCTTTCTCTCTAGATACTCTAAAAATTTACAACCAAATTCTCAATAATTCTCTAACTTTCCCTTTCGAAATGCTCCATTTTTCCGACCAATTCCCCCACTTTTGCGGCAATTTGGGCCCACCTAATTCAAAGAACTCAATGTTTGGCCCATTCGAAGGACATACAGTGAAACCGTTTACCGCGTAATCGAATTTTTCTAACTGAATTTGGAGGCTTGGGGATTCACGTGAAAGCTTTTTTCCAGACATGATTCATGTCTCCAGACGAAATATGATGTCATTCGACGGGGATTTGGCTTATTAGAGGGCTTTTCACAGACTTTGGAACACAAAAACAGACTTTTATCTCATTATTTTGGCCAATTTTGGCTATTTTTTGTCTCCGTCTTCAATAAAAAAAGCTGTTTTCACCACCGTGTTTGGTTTTTCGCCCCAATTACTCGATTAACCCAATTTTCCGCCCAATTTACGAGTATATTTGTGGCAATTCCGGCAAATCCCTGGACAATGCGGCAAAAATTTCATTCTCCTTTAGTTTGCCGGCCGAATGAGATGTCGGAATTTGATTTTGTAACGCAATTTCGGAAATTTCAAGACTATTTCAAGCGGGTTTCTTTCATTTCCCTCCAATTTAATATCATTTTTTCAAATTTTTTTACAGTTGCACTTTTTGACTTCAAAAAGTCCCACGCAACTTTTTGCCATTCTATTCAATTTTATTTGCATTGAAATTTAATTTTCATGCCGTTCTCGATGAGAACACGCATAATTTATCGTTTACCCGGCATGGCGTTTTATTTTTTACTATTAGTATTTTCATAAAGTGCATGGACATTTTTTTGGCTTTCGCAGAGTGCATCTTGAATTTTTTTCCCACGCTTGTCGCCAACGCACAGTGGATTTTTGACTTTTCGCACCGTGCAAACCTCAAAAAAATTGCACGGTGCAAATTGGGGTTTTTGTGGCCAGGGCCAATGCGCTAACTGAAACTTGGCTGAAAGTTGACTAAAAATTGTAGGGCGCAGTTGGGAAAACTTGCACGGGCGCAGCTCGCATCTCGGGAACAGCTCGTAAAACAAGCTTTCGCAGCCCGCCGGAGCTAAGCGTCGGCTTGTTTTCGAGCTGCGCCCAAGAAGCGAGCAGCCCCGTGCAAGTTTTCCGAGCTGCGACCTACCATTTTTAGCCAACTTTCAGCCAAGTTTCAGTTAGCGCATTGGCCCCGGGCACAAAAAACCCCAATTTGCACCGTGCAACTTTGAGGTTTGCACGGTGCGAAAAGTGAAAAATCCACTGTGCGTGGGCGACAAGCGTGGGAAAAAAATCAAGATGCACTCTGCGAAAGCCAAAAAAATGTCCATGCACTTTATGAAAATACAAATACCTTTTCGGTACAATAATCGCGTTTTTTCGGCAAAATATTACTATACAGCCTCCTGTTTGTCATCTTTTTTTAATCATCCATTTTCAGATCAAATTTTTCCCTTTCTCAAATTTTCTCCGCCCAACCTTCAAGTCCGGTCCAACCATTCACCCGCACACGCACTCCTTGCCGATGCCGGCGCCAGTTTCGGGTATGAGGCGGAACAGTGCGGTCGCGTCGACCTGCTCCACCACCTCCAGCGGCTCGGACATGCTGTGGCGTCGGAGCTCGGTGCGCCGCCACTCCACCGCCCAGTCCTCCATGGTGGAGCTGGAGACGGTGATCAGCGAAGGCAACGACCATTTGGCCATTATGGAGCCGCGCGCCGCGTACAGCGAGTTCGATCCCGACGGGATTCCCTACGTCTATACGGGGATGCGAGTCAAGATCCGTGGGAAATACGAATACATCGACAGTGCGCATTATTGTGTGGGCCATGGTGCTTTCGGCGACGTTTTCAAGGTAAGAAAAAATTAAAGCGGAGAATCGTATTTTACAAACACCTTGGGGGACCTGATCCAGTGGCAAAAAACGTACCATTTTGCTTCCGGGAAGTATCAAAAATGTGACAAAAAAGAGCGGGCGCGCTTTGAAATCTGAGTTTTTTCCACTTGGAGAGGGAGGCTTTTTTCCACATTTTTTGCTACTTCCTGGATGCAAAATGGTATGCTTTTTGCCACTGGATCAAGTTCCCCACTGTATAATAAAATTGGGAAAATTAAGTTTGAATTTTTCCCTTTTATGGCCATGAGATTTTTGTGGTCATAGGGTTTTTGAGAGCGATTTGGTGGAACTTGGAGCAAATTGAGTTAATTTGTCCCAAGTTCCTTCAAAATCGCTATCCGACCCCGCTTTTATGACATAACAATCTCCATTCTGTCTTATAGGGCTATTCGCACGACCGTTTCCACAAGGCCAAAGTCCCGGTGGCCATAAAACGAATGGCGCAGGTCAATGTGAAACCTCACGAATTGGAGGCCATGAAGCGCGTGAAGAACCCGTTTTTGGTGTCGTTGATTGACATTTGTCATGAGCACGACGACCTCAACACCTATGTGATTATGGAGTTGTGCCATTCCGACTTGGAGGCGTATCTTCAGACCTCCGCGCCAAACGGCTGCCTGGACCCGAAGGAATTCGAGTGAGTCGCAAAAAATCCCATTTTTATTCCTCTAAAACTTGGCCAATTTTAACCAAACTTTTCCAGCCTTGTCATGAAGGACCTGGCTCGCGGCTACTACGCCTTGTACGCCGAGAGCATCGTGCATCGTGACATAAAACCGCCAAATATATTGCTCTTGCTGAATCGGGAAGGAACTGGAATCGAAGTGGCCAAATTGACCGACTTTGGGGTCTGCCGTATGTTGGACGATGGCGATGAGGGTCTGTGCAATGTGGCAGGCACTTTCTACTATATGGCGCCTGAGATTGGAGCTAACGTTGTGACCTACTGCGAATATGGGCATGCCGTAGATATGTGGAGCATTGGCTGTGTAATGTACAAATGCTTCACCGGAGAGGTAAGTGCTTTAATCACAATGCTCTAATCACCATAAACAGCCCTCTACCGTCTTACTTGACATAAAAATCAGCGCAAACCGTACCAAAAACGTCATGGATAATATAAATTATTCTTTATTTATATCCAAATGACTAGTGAACATTGCAAAAGCTGTAGTAGAAACGTTTCACAGGCTGATGAGATCATTTTTTGACATTAGGAAGCCTTGGCTGGATATCTTCATTGATTCTCCGACAAACATGAGAGATATCTTGAAGCTTCGCTAGGGCATCGCTCAGCTGAGGCACACTGGAAATTTTGATATTTTATTCCCTTACAAGACATAGTCCTTCATTTTAGCCCAAATTCCTCACTAGTTTCGCCAAAATCCTTTAAATTTTATATTATACTTGACCATTTCAGCTGCCCTTCACGGAAGCTCAAATGTGCCGGCTCTTTTTGTACTCGGCCTGCCAAAACTACGATGCCTATGACCCTCCAGAGCTTCCCGAGTCAACCACCGAAGCGCAGAAGGATCTGTTGTATTCGCTTTTGACCATCGACCGGTCGCAGCGTTTGACTCCGAAAGAATTCTACTGGAAGATGACCGGCAAATACCCGGTGGAGGATGGTCTACCCGAACGAAAAAGCACTCCGGAAAAGACTGGAGGTGGCAATTGTTCGGAGAGTGCGCCAGCGATCGTCGTGGCTTCAGCCGAAGTTGGAGAAGTGGCTGCTCACTGAGAAGCACTCCGAAACGCCAATTTCCATCAAAATCTTCCGAATTTCCCCCATCTAGGCAATTTGTCACTTCTTTTTCTTCGATTTCAATGTATACTCAACTCAATTAACGTAATTTTCTTGCATTTTACATCCAAATATTGTCTATGGCATCTTATTTTTTGAGATTTTATGGGTTTTCACGGGTCAAATCCCTCTGTTTTTGAGTAAAATCGTAAAGAAATGTTTGTAATCGCATTATACCGTCAAAATATATCCTACTACCTAGAGTCTTCTTCGATTTTCACCCACTTTTAGTTGGAATTGTGTACTCACCTTCTCTCGATCAGCGCATTCCTGAAATCATACTCTGTCAGTTCAAATGCATTCGTTTTGGTGAGAAATAAATTTGATTATACTCGAATACTTTTAACTTCGGTAATTCGAATAAAATGAATTCAGAAATTGGCAAAAAACTGGGATTTTTCGCCAAGTATAAGGTCGAAAAACGTGAAATTTTATGAGAATTTGGTAAGTAAACGAGTAATACACAAAGAACAAAAAATATCTCACCGATGAGAAGCTTTTTCAACCGCTGTTTCAAGTCTCTTCAAGCTGTATGCAGTATTATTCAAGACAGACTCGGTGCCAGCCGTAGATCTGATGGCTTGGTGCAACGTGGTAGTCTAAAACGACAAATTCTAAACTAAAAGTTGCGAAAAAGCATAACGCAGCTTAAGCATCAGAAATTAAGAACATTCAAGTCATTTTCTCTGATGAAGTTCACCAATCCATCTAGTACAACACCAGATCACCTAAAATTCGAAAAAACTAAATAAAATTACCTCGCCATTAGGACCACTCTGTTGAGCAGACATCATCAAGGCACCAATATCCACCACCGCCTCTTGAATTCGCTGCGGCAACCTTGTTTTACCTTCTAATTGCACCATCTTCACAACTTGCGCGTTGGTGGTCTTGGTGGAAGTTGTGGTATGGTCCATTGTTCCCATAGGCACTACTTGCATTCCTTGTCGATTAGATTACCGGATTATCCCAGCGGAATGTCGAGCAAGGCAAGTATAATCAATTTCCCATCGGACTTCGGGGTGGATGTCTAAAATAATATAAAAAAGTATAAAAATGGCTAAAAGCAAGGCGTAGATGCAACTCAGATGAAGGAAACAGACCTTTTCTTGATGCAGGTTACCGCAAACGCTGTAAAACTATCCACTTTTGGACCTTTTTATCAATTTTTTATTTGTTGCAGAATGCCAAGAAATATTTTCTTCTTTCTGGCATTGCAATTTTGCGTGGTGGGACAAAAGGTTAATAGCGGATTTTGCAATTTTTTAGGATAAAACCGATGTAGACTGGTTAAAACTAGTCGCAGCAGTGAGATTACGCAATTTTTATTGCAAAAAATGTATTATATTATCCACAATGTAAAAGCTAGTGAAAATTTATTTTCGCCAATGTAAAATACGAGTCTACAGCTTTTTAAGATTTATTTTACATTCTTCTTCTTTCGCCCAAGTGAAAACAAATTTCGGATTGAGCGCTTCTTCTTCTCCGGCTTTTCCTGAAAATTGAAAATAAATTTTATCATTGAAGATAGTAAAATACGAAAGACGAAAGAATATCGTGGTATTTCCAATAAAATTTACAAGTTTTTACCTCCTTTTGCGCTGCGGCAATGGCATAAACGTGCTCTGAAAGTACAATAAAAAATTATTTTTTTTAGAAAAAAAAAATTTTTTAGATTTACAATAAAATTACTGTACAATACACAGTAAAAAAATTAAACAATTTTCTGCCAAAATTCAATACAGAGTGTAGAAAGTCTATTTATTTGATAAAAAATTCCAATGGCCCCAGGCAATATAGCAATCAACTAAAAAAAAGCAAAAAATTTCCAAAAATCCCGAAAAGTTAGCAAAAAATGCAAAAAAATTTAATGCCAAATTTACAGAAAAAACACAACAGCATTACTACCACAAAAGCGCACCATTGTTATTCACGGCATCCAGATGAGAGGCAAGGGTTATTTGAGGCAAACGTCGGGAGTTTAAATGTCGACACGCCTGCATTAATGAAGCCGTATCTACAATTTCTTTACTCACTCTTTGAAAGAAATTTTCAAAAAGAAATTTCGGGAAACGAAGGATTTTTTTGTGGGAAGATGGGTTTGTCTATATGTAATTGGAGGATTTTAAAAGAAGGTTTTTGGTTGGCGCTCCGACCTTTCGGGTCAGCGACAGTTCGGGTCAACGATATTTCGTATCGCGCCGGGTTGTCGGGGAGGCATGAAGAAGGCTTAGTTTGCAGAAAGAATAAGATTCACCACTTCCTAGGATAGTTTATCCCCTATTTGAGGTATTTTATATATATGTTCTCACAATAATATCTAGAATAGAAGTGTTTTTTGTTTTTTTGTGCCGGTTCTTGCTCTTTTCTATGTTACAATACCTCAGGGCCAAGAAAACCAAAGTTAGCCGTAGCTAAAATTAGAAAGGGTGGCCGATTGTAAGCCTTCATCAAGTCTCCGCGGAGCCTTCGCCGAGCGCCTATCGGGCACCAGGCTTTACCAGGCGTCGTAGGAAGCTCCTACAACCTTTTTAGACTCTCCGCCCCTACTATGGCTCGTATCGACCGATTTTGTGTTGACCGGAAGTGTCGCCGACCCTAAAAGTCGGGACGCAAAATTCTCCATTGTATGCTTTGCAAAAATTGCGGAATATTTCGGATTCTGCTCCAAAGTGCTAGCTAAAATTTTCAGTTATTGGTACAGTGAGAGACCTTCTCTAGTGTTAAAAAAACGTATCATTTTGCATCCAGGAAGTGTCAAAAATGTGGCAAAATACCTCCCTCTACAACTAAGAAAGACTTCGTTTTGAAGGTTCCTCACAAAAAGAGGGGACGTGCTTTTGAAATCGGAGTTTTTTCCCTTGGAGAGGGAGGTATTTTGCTGCATTTTTGATACTTCCCGGATGCAAAATGGTATGTTTTTTGCCAATGGATCAGGTCCGCCGCTGTACGTGGCCTAGACAGATAATTCCACAAAAAATTGCAAAAACAGATGCGTAGCAGTTTTGCGAATACCCTAAACTTTCTTTTTCAGAACTCTCAGATCTCTATTTGCGCCAAATCTTTCCAAAAAGCTCAAAAAATCTCACCAAAATCGAAGCTTTTGCTCCGTTCAATGGGCGATGGTTGTGGCGAGTCCTCCCTCACAATCTCCACTTGCCTCGGTTCCATGGCACTTGCGGACCTGGATTTCAACTTGATCTCGTCCAAATACGCCTCCAAATCTTGATTCGTCAGATTGGAAAACGGGTTTGGCGCATACAAGTGCTGAAAGACGCGGGCGTTGTGCTGAAATTCGCGGTCGATAATGCCCTTGGAGGCGGTGGAAATGGTTTGAAAGTGTTGGAATTGCGGGTTCTGATCCTTAATCAGGATTCCATCAAAGATTTGGGAAATCGGCCCAGGACTTGTGTCGCCGCGCACCTGATTCTCGCGGATCTCGTCGCGATGCCGACGCATTTCGTTGGCATCGCCGTTGAGGGTGATAGGAGAGAACTGATGAGCTGAGGAGATCTTGACGGGAGTCCCACCGACGGATGAGGAGCGCTCGGAAACCCACTGAAAAATTGGGATGTATTGGCGTAATATGCGTATATTGTACAGTAGTACTTATCAATATGTCGGGAAAATAATGTGGATTCTAAGTAGTATCAGTCTGTCGGGAAAATAATGTGGAATTTGAGTAGTATCAATATGTCGGGAAAATAATGTGGGTTCTGGATAGTATTATTTAGTCGGGAAAATAATGTGGGTTCTAAGTAGTATCAGTCTGTCGGAAAAATAATGTGGATTTTTAATGGTATCATTATGTCGGAAAAATAATGTGGATTCTGAGTAGTATCAATCAGTCGGTAAAATCATGTGGATTTTGAATGGTATCATTCTGTCGGAAAAATAATGTGGATTTTGAATGGTATCAATCAGTCGGGAAAATAATGTGGATTCTGAGTGGTATCATTCTGTCGGAAAAATAATGTGGACTTGTCGCAGAAAAATGTCTCGCTTTGTCGCAATCGCTCACCAAGTCTCCAGCTGCGGCCAGCTTTCGCAAGTGAAGATGATTCCAAGGCACGAAAAATCCACATTATTTCCCCGACAGACTGATCAGGGGTACTTGCAAAAAATATTTGAGATTATTACGTCAAAATTTGGGGAAAATTAGGGACATTTTTTGTTGAGACAAGTCTAATATAAGATGTTGAGCCGTCGATTTTCCTCAAATTTTGTCTGACTGTTCCATTCTCAGCCGAGAATTGGCTTGGTGACAAAAAGTCTACGCACTTTTGAAAAGTGGTTTGTCTGGAAAATAATGATGATTGAAAAGTGTGTCGCCTCGTCGCAGTCGTTTCTGGCCGTCAAGCGATGATGTGAGACTAATCCACATTATTTTTCCGACAAACTATAATATCCCGGCTCTCTTATGTCGCTGGGCCGATCGCGTCGCTGAAGTTGAATTTAATGGGCATTTTGTTGCTTTTCGATGCAACAAAATGCTCATTATTTTCCCGACAGACTGATATTTCACCTCCCTTTTTCCATTAACATACCACAAGGCCAATAGCAATACCTTTTTTTATGCCGATCACACCTCACAATACAACAACAATTACAATATCTCTACGACATGCTTGCCTTGGTAATTGTTTTTGGATTCTCTCTGCCCTCCTCTTTGAACTCGACTTTCTGATAATTATTCGGCGAATTGAGCCAGCGGACCTTTTCTTGTTGAGCCTGCGTTAGAAAGTAATGACTGTCGGTCTCGTCGGCCAAGCCATGCGACGAAAGGGAGGGAGGAAGCGAGATCTCGGACAGATTGGAGATTCCGGACGATAAAGTGGGCAGTCTCGACTTCAGAGAGGGATTACGGTAGATATGTCCGGTTTGGTAACCCTGAAATTTTTTTATACGTGCTGTCAAATGTCTGTACAGAATCTGTCTGTAACGACAAGAGTTCTGCGTATTATAGGCCAAAATAAACTTGACAATGGAAGTAGCGACGCTCAGATTTTGTTTAAATTTTGCTGACCATTTTTTCGAATACCAAAGTTCGAAAAAATGATTTATTTTTCCCAGTCTTCGACCTAAAATCTCGGTCGTTTCTGCAAAGCGCGAGCCTCGCATATGCGTTGAAAAAAATTAATCAAAATTTGTGTTTCATCAAAATGTGAGTGTCGCCTGGGCTACTTCCTCTGTCAGTAACAAAAAACATTTTTTATTGCTAGAATTCGCTGTACTTAAGTTGTTTCGTACCCTGCCAAAGTCGGGGCACTTCCGAGTTTTTAGCAATAGAAAATCTCGGCTATGCCGTAAGACTTTGCAATACGCCCTAGATGAAACTTCGATAACCTCTCTATTAGTCTATATGTATGTTAAACTAAGGAGGGATCTGAGCTAGTAAATAATCGACTTCGAACTTTTGCAAGAAAATGGTCATAACATATTATCCAACCTAATATTTACAGTGTCATCCTTGACACTGTAAAAAAATGAAATTTACCGCGCCATCCAGCACCCTCATCCACGCTTCCCATTCCAGTTCTCCAATTCGGTATTGAGACGATCCCTCGCCGTCAGCGGTCTTGTTCACACCTCCACCCCCACTTCTAGCCGTTGTGTAGGCTGCCGAAACCGCTTCGTGAGATGGAATGACAAGATTGTCGATTCCAACGCGAGCTGCGCGGATCTGAAATGCAAAATTGTGACATTTTTTTGCAAATCTTAGCATGAAAATTTTCATGCCTATTTCTACTGTTGAGTGTAATTTTTCTACCAAAAAATCAATTTTTTCCGCACGAAACTGGAAAATATATGGCGAAAAAGTGTTTTTATCTTTGACCGCACTTTGCGTTTTGCGTACTCTCTCGCCTGAAAAGATCGTCAAAAATTTTCAGAAATTTTGTCAAAAATTTTAACTAGCGCTTTGCAACGGAAGCCAAAGTATTTCTGGCCGAGGGAATACGCCGTTTCTGGCCGAGGGAGTACGCAAAACGGGGAGTGTGGCCAGAGAAAAAAATTTTTTTAAGAATTAACGCAAAGCATTAACGCAAACTTCAAGGGGCCTTACCTGTGTTTCGCAAGCGATGATTGTATGAAAAGCCAGGTGAAGCGCATCCTCAACCGACTCTCCGCACGCCACAAATCCATGATTTCGAAGGAGAAGCACCTGAAATCCGATTTTTTTATTTTTTCATCTTGTAAAGTTATGTTCGAGAAAATCACTTGTACTTCGCAAAAAAGGGCCTACATTTTTATCGCCCAAATCCTCGACAATCTTCTCTCGCATGCTCTCCTCGCTCACAATCCCCTGATAGTCGTGATATGCAACCGAGCCGATGATCATGGCCTCCTGACAAATCGGCAACAACCCGCACTTCATGGACGAAACCGCCGCCACAACGGCTGTGTGCAAGTGTAAAATGCATTTCATGTCGGGACGAGCCTTGTGAATTGCAGAATGAAGAACATAACCGGCCTGGAAATTGAATTTTTATTATATTTACAGGGGAAGTACTCCAAGTGCGCCGCTCAGGTTTTCTTTAAATTTTGCACACACGTCGTTCATGAACTAACTATCGATCCCTGAAAGTTTGAGTTCGCGCTTTACGGGCGCCGCCGAGATATCGAACGATTTTTGCCGCCGAGAGAGCACGCTAAACGTGGAGAGCGGTCAGAGAGAAAAACGCTTTTTGGCCATAACCTTGGCAGTTTCGTGCGAAAAAAATTGATTTTTCGTAGAAACATTATACTTTACGGTAGAAATAGGCATGAAACTTTTCGTGCCGAAATTCGGCAAAAAGTTCTAAATTTTCGCCGACTTTGAATCTAAAAATCTCGGTTGTTTCTGCAAAGCGCGAGCTAGGATTCTCGCATATACTTTAGAAAAAATCGTTCTAAATTTGTGCTATATTTCATAAAAATCTGGGCGTCGCACTTGGAGTACTTTCCCTGTTAGTTCGAAAAAATTGAGTTTTTGATGAAAAAGTCGAAGTTGTTTTGCTCACTTTATTGACGCCAAGGGAAGTGGAGCCATTGTCCAAGATATTCCCGTCGATATCGATCTTGATCAATGAACTGGCAGTGATTTCGTGATACAGTAATCCAAAGGGGTTGATCAAAAATTCGGGCTCTTTTTTGTCTTCCGACTCGGGCAGTCGTAACTGAAAAAATCGTTGGAAAAATGTCATTTTTTTTGCGAAATTTTTGCATGAAACTCATACTAATCATACTCATTCTACCGTAGAGTAAAATATTTTCACAAAAAATCAATTTTTTCCGCACAAAACCGGCAAGGATGGGGCCAAAAAGCGTTTTTTTTGTCTGACCGCTCTCCACGTTTCGCATGCTCTCTCGGCCGCAAAGACTGTTGAATATCTCGGCTGCGCCCGCAACGCGCCAGCTAAAACTTTCAGGAATTGCTCTGCGGGCTATGCATAAATTTTACGTAAAATTTAAAGAAAGAGAGAGAGCATGAAAAGCGAGGAGAGCACACAGAGAAAAAGAGGTTTTTCGGGCTATAACAATTTAGATGCCGCTCGGTTTTTCGCTTGACAGTGATGACTGAAAACTCACAGTGATATGATTATAGATTCCTTGAGACCATTGGAAAAGATCGACCAGTCGATAAAGTGCGGCCAGTTTATTCCGGAGAATGCGCTCTTTGATTGTGTATTTGTCGTTGCCAGCCATGTCAGCGATTTTCACTCGGCCGTTTGAGAAACCTGGAAATTTTTTTAGGTCAAAAAAAAATTGGGTGCCCAAATAATTTTTTCTTTTCTAAAAAATTGCCTACTGGTCCAAGTCCGTTCGGAAAGTCGCCGGACTGATTTTTTGGTATTTGCACTGTGCAGAAAAAATCAGGGTGCGAGTGACGGCCCAAAAAAGTCTACTGCACGGTGCAAAGTGTAAGCCGAGAATTGCACAGTGCAAAGTGAATTTTTGTTTTCGCACAGTGCATGTCGCTGAACTAACTTTTTTCGTTTGCACTGTGCAGAAAAAGTCAAGCGCCCAGAAAAGCCAATTGCACGGTGCAAAAAGCAAGAAATTGCACTGTGCAAAGTGAATTTTTGTTTTCTCACAGTGCATGTCGCGGATGCGAAAAAACGCCGAAAAAAATCTACGCACTTTCTCGAACGACTAGTAGTTTGCGAGCGGAAACTCGTTGGAATGCTCACTTTATTGACCCTTGGAGTCAATAGAGTGAGCAAAAGAACTTCAAAGGACAAAAAAAAACTACGTTTGAAACTCGCTTTTACGACTTGGAGGACGAAATGTCATAAAAATTTTTCTGGCCCTCGGAATAGGAAACAGATAAAAAGTAATCAAAAAGATTGCAAAACACACCCTCATCAGCAGTTTTAAGAGAATTTCTACCTTGTTTTAAGGGCGTGGGAGGGCAAAAAATCTTGTGACATTTCGTCTTTCAAGCCGTAAATCGAGATTCAAGTGCATCAGTTTGTCGGGAAAATAATGAGCACTCTGTCGCAGCGAAAATCGCTTCGCCGTCGAATGAATTGTCTTCGCGGCAAAATCAAATTTCTTTTCACTTCAGCGACGCGATTGGCGCAGCGACAATGTGCTCATTATTTTTCCGACAAACTGAGAGTAAAAAAATATTTTTTTGATAAAAAAATCATAATCTTCAAGGAAATTTAATCTTACAAGGGAAGTACTCCAAGTGCGATGCTTAGATTTTGATAAAACTTGGCATAAATTTAGAATAATTTTTTCTAAGATATATGCCAGAATCCTAGCTCGCGCTTTGCAGAAACAACCGAGATTTTTAGATCAAAAGTCGGCCAAAATTTAGGACTTTTTGCCGAATTTCGGCACGAAAAGTTTCATGCCTATTTCAACCGTAAAGGATAATGTTTCTACAAAAAATCAAATTTTTCCGCGCGAAACTGCCAAAGTTATGGCCAAAAAGCGTTTTTCTCTTTGACCGCTCTCCACGTTTAGCGTGCTCTCTCGGCGGCAAAAATCGTTCGATATCTCGGCGGCGCCCGCAAAGCGCGAGCTAAAACTTTCAGGAATTGATATTTGGTCCATACCCGACGTGTGTGCAAAATTTAAAGAAAATCTGAGCGTCGCACTTGGAGTACTTCCCTTGTTAGTTTCTACAAAAAAATTCAACCTACTCAGCTTCTGCAGTCCCGTGAGCGCCATAATCGTGGGCAACGTCTTGCTTCTCGCCAATTTCCCGCTGTCGCCTTCCTCGAACGCCTCCCTATCTTTTGAGATCAGCGACTCGAGTTGGGTGCAGAAATCTTTGTGTTCCAACACTTGCCGCACTCTTCTGCGTCTGTCCATTTCGCTTAGATCGCACTGGAAATCGAGAGAGGGCTAGGGAAAGAGGCGAGAAAAAAGTTTTGTTTTGATTTGTTTCTTTTTTCCTGTTTTTGAAAAAGTTTTTGGACACAAGAGAAAAAAAGAGCAATTTCGATGATTTGAAGAGAATTTTTGGGGGGAAAGATCAGATTGGAAAGGTTGATAATAAAAAATAAATAAAAAATTTTTTTCGAATTTTTTCATTGGAGGTTGTTTTTTGGACATTTGAGATTTTGGACCAAAAAAAATATTTTCGAAAAATAAAAAAAAACAATTTCTTTTTTATTTTCATTTACTTTTTTATGAAAATTTCAGATCTTGAATTAAAAAAATATTTAAAAAAAATAAAAAAAAATTTCTCGGAACACCTCAAATGTGACCTGTTAGATTTTTCTGCTATTCAACCTTAAAAAAAAATTTCAAAACTGTGAAAATTTTATATAGGTTGTAATTCGGGTACCCAAGCCAATTTCTCGAAAAAAATTAAAAATTTTTTTTCTTCGATTAAAAAATTTTTTTTCGAAAAATTTTTGAGGTACCCCATTTTTATAATAAACTAAAATTCTTTAGTTCTTGGGGACATAAACATTATTTTTTTCAAAACATTTTTTTTCTCTAATTTTCTGAAAGTCTCAAGATTGCTAATGAGAAAGTCTGAAAAAATCCGCACGAAATCAAAGCGTATTTTACACACAAACCGTCACAAAAGTTACGTACCTTTATTACAGCCGGTCTCCGCAGCTCCTTCAAATAATCCGGATCATTTCTGTCAAGTTTCCTGTCGCTAAAGGCTTTTCGTTCAACCGGACCTTCACTGGACGTCCGAATTTTGACGTGTTTTTTGATCTTCTTCGGAGTCGGCTGAGCTGAACGGGCTTCGGATGGCGGCGGCTTCAGCATTGCTGAAAGCCCACAATGGATGAGAATTACAATGCGAGCCAACCCAAAGAAAGCATCGCCGACTCGAACTGTTGTTGACCCGAAAAGTCGTAACGCCAAAAATTTATAATTAGTCGGTCATTACAATAAATTATTATACAAAAAGCAATTTTGATGAGGAACTTTTCTGGCTTGAGATACAACCTTCGTATAACCATTCGACAAATAATATCTATAGCGAACAAGTGTTGGAATACAACAAATATGCGTTATTTTCTGAAAGTACTATTACACAAAAAATTTTTTCTGGATCAGTTCGATTTGTTGTGCAGAGTTTTTTCAGTGTAATAACAAGGGAGGGCAAACGGTCTGATTTTTTAAAATTTCAGGCCCGCGGCAACGCACACGCACAGCAACCCAAAATAGAACAAAAACGTCTTCCGCCCATTTTTTAATTTCGTCCAAACGAAGTGTCACAAATTGAGAAAAGAAATAGAATAATTCCGAGAAAAATATTTTTCGGTCGGAAAACCACATGAAAAATTCATTTTTGACATTTCGTTTGAATTCAACCGATACTAGGTGGGCGAAGTGCCGAAACGAGGCGGGAGACTCCCTGGGTTGCCGTGCAACGTCCCGCAATACACATTCTGTTAATTTTGGACTTTATTTTATAACATACAGTGAGGGACCGGATCCAATGGCAAAAAACGACTCATTTTGCATCCCGAAAGGGACCAAAATGTCTCCAAACCCTTCCCTTCTCTAAGCTAAAAAACCCCGCTTTGAAGAGCCCGCCTTGAAGGAAAGGGCGCGCTTTTCAAAGAGGAGTTTTTTAGATTAGAGAAGGGAATGGTTTGGAGTCATTTTGGTCCCTTCCGGGATGCAAAAGGAGACGTTTCTTGCCATTGGATCGGGTCCCTCACTGTATATAGGGTGACTCAAAATAACTCAGTAAGATCAACAATAACACCCACCGGTCCGATAGCCACAGGTGGCGCTTTGTTCTCGCCTAGATACCGGCTAATTTCTTCGCCTACCCTCCTTTTGTTTCCGCCCCTCTGAGGTCGTACTCGGGCTACTTTCCTTGCTAGGTTTTATTATTAAAATTTCCGGACCAAAAATCTCGGTTACTTATGGCGGGAATCGCCAAAAAAAAACAAAAAATTACGATTATGCATGCCAGAACGCCCTCAAAACTTCAAAAAAAAAATCTTACTCACTCACTCGTTCTTACAGCCCAAACTACCGCAACAAACAAATCCCCAGTGTCCACTATAGTGCGCCGCCTCAGCCTCGAAACGTTTTTTAATCCGAAAGAATTCCGCCGTTTCGGGTCGTTTCGAGTGTGAAATTGTGCCGAAATAAGGGGCCCTCAATTCAAAGGGGGGAAGAAAATATCTATTTGTGTGGACATCGGCGGAGAAAAGAGACGCCCAGTAACCTAATTATGCAAACCGGTTCGGGAGAGGCCAAGGATTGAAGGTTGAAGGGGTCCCAGTTTTTCATAAAGTGCGTAGACTTTTCTTCTCCTTTTGTCGCGAACGCACAGTGCATTTTGCCGTTCTTCCCTCGGTTGTCGCAAACGCACAGTGCATTTTGCCTTTCTTCCCTCGCTTGTCGCGAACGCACAGTGCATTTTTCCCTTTTCCGTTTTTTGTCGCGAACGCGCACCGCACAAATCTCCCATTTTGCACAGTGCATTTCAATTTTTTTCGTTTTTTGCACCGTGCAAAATTCCGCGACAAAAGCTTTTTCCAACTGCGTCGCCGCGATTTCGCTCAAACGTTCGCACGGTGCAAACGGTTTTTTCGGGGTTTGCACGGTGCGAAAAGAGAAAATGCACTGTGCGTTGGCGACAAGCATGGGAAAAAAATTCAAGGTGCACTGTGCGAAATCGAAAAAATGTCCATGCACTTTATGAAAGTACTTTCAGTATTTTCATAAAGTGCGTAGACTTTTTTCTCCTTTTTCGCAAACGCACAGTGCATCTTGCCCCGCAACAAAAAGTCTACTTATTTTATGAAAATACTATTATTATACTAATTGTAATAAAAATTTTTAAGACTCAATTTTTTCGGGGGGACAAATGAAATCATCGAGAAATTTTGTGTTTTTCAAATTTTGAAAAAAAATATTATTTTTTTTGGGGAGAAAAATGAATTTTTCGACAAAAATTTTTTTTTCAAGCTATGATTTTTGGGAAAAATAAAAAAAATAAGTAGTGTGTTAGGAAAAAAATCCTTTGAGAAAAAATTGTTTTTTTAAAGAAAATTTTTTTTGTTTGGACAATTTTTTGTGGTCACCACCTATTTGTAATTTTGTCTCCACCCCATTTTTAATTATTTCAGCTTGCCCCTTTTTGCATCAAAGATTTTCAACAATCTTTTCTTCAGGACAGAACGAAAAAATAAAATAAAAAATGACAAAAGAGAGTTCACCAGACAAAATAAACAAATTTTCGGCCAAGTAGGCTCCGAAACCATGATTTTTTTTGTAAAAATTTTTATAAAAAAAATTGATTTTTTTATAGAAAAATATAAAAATTTCATAATTTTTTTTACTCTCAAGAAGACGGATTTTCACTTCAAAAAAAAACAGAATTAATACCTAAAAAAAGTCCCAAGATCCCAAAAAAAGTTAAATAAAGAATTTTCCAACTTTTTCAAACTCTGAAAGCAAACCTTTCAGTCCGAATTAGGCCTTTAAAACCCAAATTCCACCGTTCTAATTGCCTCTAAGCCCTCGTTCAAACTTTTTTCCATCCCTAAACAACTTCTTTTTTTTATTTTTGCTAAAAAATCTAAACAAAAATTTAAAACGCGTTTTGCCACACTTTGGGGCTTAGCCTAACAGGGGGCGGACATTGTTAAAATCGGTGTCTCAGAATTTAACGAAACTTGGTCAATATAATCAACACTAGACATAGAACATTCGCTTTCTTTGTTTTTGCCCAAAATTACCGTATGACGGATTACTGTAACTTTCTTCCCCAAAAAGATGTGCCCTGATCGAGAAAACGAAGCTCAGTTTTAGTGCAAATCGAGTTTAGGTGTATGTTTTCGACCATGTAGAACATTTTTGTAATTATCACCAAAAACTAAAAATTACATCTAAGCTATGTTACACTTGAGGCAACATACCATTTCGGGTGTAAAAAATGCAGTTTTGAGGTGACGCAGATTTTGAAACCGGAATATTAAACTTCAAGCTTTGTCTAATAAACCATAAAAATTTCAGAAAAATCAAATGTATAGTTTTTGAGAAATTGGACATTGAATGACTCATGTGCAATATCACCTTGACCCGAAAAAAACTGGCATTCTTGGGGTTTTGACCTGACGCAGATTTTGAAAGTTTCCACTACATTTTTATCACATTTTAGGAGGATTTGGAAAGTTTTCAGAGGAAAAAAATGTATAGTTTTTGAGAAATCGGCCGAAATACCTTGTTTTAGGTCATCAGATGCCCGAAAAAAACTGGCATTCTTGGGGTTTTGACCTGACGCAGATTTTGAAAGTTTCCAATGCATTCTTATCATATTTTAGGAGGACATGGAAAGTTTCAGGAGAAAAAAATGTATAGTTTTTGAGAAATCGGCCAAAATACCTTGTTTTAGGTCATCAGATGCCCGAAAAAAACTGGCATTCTTGGGGTTTTGACCTGACGCAGATTTTGAAAGTTTCCACTACATTTTTATCACATTTTAGGAGGATTTGGAAAGTTTCAGAGGAAAAAAATGTATAGTTTTTGAGAAATCGGCCGAAATACCTTGTTTTAGGTCATCAGATGCCTGAAAAAAACTGGCATTCTTGGGGTTTTGACCTGACGCAGATTTTGAAAGTTTCCACTACATTTTTATCACATTATAGGAGGATTTGGAAAGTTTCAGAGGAAAAAAATGTATAGTTTTTGAGAAATCGGCCGAAATACCTTGTTTTAGGTCATCAGATGCCCGAAAAAACTGGCATTCTTAGGTTTTTGGCTACGCGCAGATTTTGAAAGTTTCCAATACATTTTTATGACATTTCAGGAGGATATAGAAAGTTTCAGAGGAAAAAAATGAATAGTTTTTGAGAAATCGACCAAAGTACCTTGTTTTAGGTCATCAGATGCCCGAAAAAAACGGGCATTCTTGGGGTTTTGACCTGATGCAGATTTTGAAAGTTTCCACTACATTTTTATCACATTTTAGGAGGATTTGGAAAGTTTCAGAGGAAAAAAATGTATAGTTTTTGAGAAATCGGCCAAAATACCTTGTTTTAGGTCATCAGATGCCCGAAAAAAACTGGCATTCTTGGGGTTTTGACCTGACGCAGATTTTGAAAGTTTCCAATACATTCTTAGCACTTTCTAGGAGGATATGGAAAGTTTCAGAGGAAAAAATGTATAGTTTTTGAGAAATCGGCCGAAATACCTTGTTTTAGGTCATCAGAACACAGAATCGTAGCCATCGGCTTACATTTGACAAAAGTTTTGCAGAGAGCTCGAATTTATTAGTGACAATTTGGAGAAAAAAACAGTAACACGCATACATCTCGGAAAAAAAGAGATGCCGAAGAAAATTGGTCGAATTTTCCAGCAACTTGACCTGTAACAGGTTCACCTTGGTCGATATCTCAAAAACTATTCACTGTTTTCCTCTGAAACTTTCTATATCCTCCTGAAATGTCATAAAAATGTATCGGAAACTTTGAAAATCTGCGCCTAGCCAAAAACCTAAGAATGCCAAATTTTTTCGGGCATCTGATGACCTAAAACAAGGTATTTTGGCCGATTTCTCAAAAACTATACATTTTTTTCCTCTGAAACTTTCCATATCCTCCTAGAAAGTGCTAAGAATGCATTGGAAACTTTCAAAATCTGCGTCAGGTCAAAACCCCAAGAATGCCAGTTTTTTTCGGGCATATGATGACCTAAAACAAGGTATTTTGGTCGATTTCTCAAAAACTATACATTTTTTTCCTCTGAAACTTTCCATATCCTCCTAGAAAGTGCTAAGAATGCATTGGAAACTTTCAAAATCTGCGTCAGGTCAAAACCCCAAGAATGCCAGTTTTTTTCGGGTCAAGGTGATATTGCACATGAGTCATTCAATGTCCAATTTCTCAAAAACTATACATTTGATTTTTCTGAAATTTTTATGGTTTATTAGACAAGGCTTGAAGTTTAATATTCCGGTTTCAAAATCTGCGTCACCTCAAAACTGCATTTTTTACAGCCGAAATGGTATGTTGCCTCAAGTGTAACATAGCTTACGAGGGAATGGTCTGAACTTCCCCCAGCGTTTGGGGAAATGACTAGTACAGGTGGATAGAGCATCTCAACTTTGGTAAAAAGAGCCATTTTCCAGCTGCGGAATAAGCCCCGCCGACGAGAAAAATCGACCGAAAGTTCCACAAAAATTTCCTCTTTCTCTTCCCTCGGAAAAGAAGAGCGGTGTCCAATGGTTCGGTTAGCCGAGTGGATAAAACGTCCGCTCGGTATTCTTTTGGGGGTTGGTTCGGTTCCGGGGTCTCGTGGAGGACCGTGATAAGGCCTTGATGAGCAAGATCAAACTCCAGCAACTCAAAAAAATATTTTACCGTTTTTATACGTTTTATAGGGGCATCATACCAAAAAAATAATAGTCAAAATATGAATTTTTTGGGTGCTTCCGAACATTCAAAGCGATGGACCATCGAAGTTATACTCGTTTGGTGATTTACTTGACTTTGAAAAAGGCAAAATAATCTTTTTTTGGTTGTTAGAGTTTGATCTTGCTCATCAAAGCCTTATCACGGTCCTTCGCGAGGCCCCGGAATCGAACCAACCCCCAAAAGATTATCGAGCGGATGCTTAATCCACTCGGCTAACCGAACCATTGGACACCGCTCTTCTTTTCCGAGGGAAGAGAAAGAGGAAATTTTTGTGGAACTTTTGGTCGATTTTTCTCGTCGGCCGGGCTTATTCCGCAGCAGGAAAATGGCTCTTTTTACCAAAGTTGACATGCTCTATCCACCTGTACTAGTCATTTTCCCAAACGCTGGGGGAAGTTCAGACCATTCCCTCGTTAGATGTAATTTTTAGTTTTTGGTGATAATTACAAAAATGTTCAACATGGTCGAAAACATACACCTAAACTCGATTTGCACTAAAATACAGCTTCGTTTTCACGATTAGGGCACATCTTTTTTGACGAAGAAAGTTACAGTAATCCGTCATATGGTAATTTTGGGAAAAATTAAAGAAAGCGAATGTTCTATGCCTAGCAGTGATTAAATCTACCAAGTTTCGTTGAATTCTGAGACACCGATTTTAACAATGTCCGGGCCAAACTACGATTTGTAATAAAACGCGTTTTAAAAAAAATTGAATAAAAATTTTTTCGAAGAAAACAAAAATTGAATAAGAATGACCGAGAAAAGAACTTACTCAAAAGGCGCGTTTATAAAATTTTGTGTCGGAACACTTTGCTCACACTTTTTGCATAAAAAGAGGCGTTTTAAGAGTTTTTTTGGAAGATGCCTGAAGGAAAATACTCAAAAAATTTGCATTTTTTGAGAGCAAAATGATTTTTCAAGTCCTTCAAAAAATCATTGGCGATTTTTAAGGTAATAAAACCCGTATTTTATAAAATTTTCAAAAAAAAACCCAAAAAATAAAAAATTTTTTTTTTATTTACAAAAATATACACAATTCTTTAGCTGGATATCTATATTTAAGTGTAATATGCATTAGTAAGTCAGCAGATTCAAATATTTTTCTCACATGGCACTGGATTGAAACTTTTTTTTTATTTATTCACCGTCATCTCTCTGAAGATGCAATCTTTGAACATTTGCCATTGCGAGGGGTCGCTACCGCGCGTTTGGTTCTAAAATACGGTCATTTATTTCTACTTTCAAAACCTACACACTTCAAAAAAAAAAAAAAAACTTTTTTTTGATCTGCACAGTGCAAAAAAAATTTCGTATTTTGCACAGTGCAAAATTTCGAAAGTCTACAAATACACCGTGCAGGGGCATTCACAAAAAAAATTATATCACATAGTAAGAAAATGACCCTACAAAAGTTTTTATGATATAATTTTTAATTGGTTGCCTCCGCACAGTGCGAAATTTTTAATTTTATCTGTCGCACCGTGCAATGGAAAAATTTGGTCAAAAATCGATCAAAAAAGCTTGCAACTGCCAAAATTTGTTATGATAATTAATCAACAGACTACTCTCGTGAACCCTACATCCATTTACAATCCTTTTTTTCCCGCTGCACCGTGCAAATCAAAAACTTTTTTCAACGCACAGTGCAAATCGCAATTTTCGCTTCTGCACCGTGCACACTCAAGTTTTCTGCGGAAAAATCATTCAAAAATAAAATACACACTATAAAAACTGCTATTAACTATAAAAATAACAAAAAATTCAATTCAAAACCTCCAAAAATCTCACTTTAAATCCTCTATGAAGTCGATCATTCATAATATCGATGAACTCATTGTATGACAAGTTTCCGTCGTTATCATTGTCAAAGATCTTGAAAATGACGTCGACTAAATGTTCGCTCAACTCCAGGCCAGTGGAGCATCTTACGGCCCTTACAAATTCTTTTCTTGAAACCGGGATATCAGCTGTAACATAGAGGCGAACTGCTCTCGAGAAGTCTTCCAAATTGTTCAGGAACTTCGAGAATTGTTGGAACTGGTCCAATGTGATCCCCTATAGAAAGTTTTTTAATTAATTCATATTATACATGACACTAAAGAATAAAAAATCAAATTTTTGTCTAAAGATGTAAAAAAATTATTAAAATTTTATATCGAAATTTCCAACATCGTATTTTACCCCAATAAAAACTCTCCTCGCATTCTGGGAACCCCCAATTTTCCGACCAAACATACACTTTCTTCCCTAAAAACTCAAAAATAATCCAAAAAATCTTACCGGATCCCGGAGCGAAACCCTGTTGGCAACTCTTCTCAGATGCTCTTCATATTTGGCCTCCGACACCAGCGAATATCTCAAGACCAACTTGGCGAAATCCACGGCCGCAATTTCATTTTTGCCTCGGGCAAATTCCGAAAACTCAATTTCGATCAGTTCTCTTTGCAGATTATTGTAGAACCTAAATCTTGTAGTCGAAAAATACGGCGTATTTTACAAACAACACATTTTACTATTGGAAATTTCGCCTACATTTCAAACTGGTCAAAGCTGATGCTATTTCGCCCCTTTGGCCCAAAAAGGTGCAATAAAATCGTTGTATCCTGTCGTTTACAGTCAGTTTCATCCTAAAAAACGCCTATTAACAGCATAAAAAACTTTTTATTGCTTCTTTAAGCATTTTCTAAAAAAATCAATAAATCCTTTGACATTTCGTTAAAATCAATAAAATTTGTGGCATTTCGTCCACAAAAATGGCTAACTCCATTTTTATGATTGGGCCCGGTTTTGTCCCCACCCCGGTTTTGTCCCCAAGACGGTTTTGTCCCCAGGACGTTTTTGTCCCCACTTTTTTCGAGCCTTTTTGTCCCCAGACCGGTTTTGTCCCCAGGACGGTTTTGTCCCCAAGACGTTTTTGTCCCCACTTTTTTTATTTTTTGTCCCCACACCGGTTTTGTCCCCAGGACGTTTTTGTCCCCAAGCTGCATAGTGCGATTAAAAATTATGCATTCAAATGTTAATTGTTGGTTTGGAGCCCAGTATTGCTCAAACAACATGTTCTTAGCGCTTGGTACTGTATAGTACAAGGTGGTACTATATAGCACGAGGTGAAAATTAAGCTATAACGCGTGAATGACGTTGTTTTGGTATGCAGTACTGATCAAACGTTCATTTTGTGCAAAAACAAATTCGTGCTATATAGTACCATGTGCTAAAACACATTTTTGAGAAGTACTGGGCTTCAAACCCATAGCATTGACGTGTTATGTCTTAATTTTTATCTCGTGCTATATAGTACCACCTCGTACTATACAGTACCAAGCGCTAAGAACATGTTGTTTGAGCAATACTGGGCTCCAAACCAACAGCATTAACATTTGAATGCATAATTTTTAATCGCACTATGCAGCTTGGGGACAAAAACGTCCTGGGGACAAAACCGGTGTGGGGACAAAAAAATAAAAAAAGTGGGGACAAAAACGTCTTGGGGACAAAACCGTCCTGGGGACAAAACCGGTTTGGGGACAAAAAGGCTCGAAAAAAGTGGGGACAAAAACGTCCTGGGGACAAAACCGCCTTGGGGACAAAACCGGGGTGGGGACAAAAACGTCCACTACGCATTTTTATAACAATCTAACTTTTACCACCTCACTATTTTTAAGATTCCTCATACAATAAACGTATCAAAAATCCAATAAATTTTGTGACATTTCGTCAAATTCCCCCAAACCCCTCAAAATACCAAAACATTCTTCCCAGTCTTTTTTACAACCCCTCCCTCCATTTCAAACCGTTTCGGCATTCTGATCCAGTATATCTTTGACGATTTTCTGGCGTCGTCTCCAAGTGATCAGTTCCTCGAACTAAAATCGGGGTTTTTTAGGTCCGAATCGCAAAACAACTCAACCATCGAACACAAAACAACATAATCAGGAGATAGATTGGTGCGATGGATTAGAGGAAAGATCTGGCGCTGTTTCATAGACAAATTTCTATCATTTGTATATTACACATGCCATTTAGGGGAAAAGTAGATGGAAAAAGCGTGCTTTCCTGGTTATTTCAGGTCGAAACTTGATAGGAAAGACACTACGGTTCATATTCTACAATATTTTACTCAAATATTCACCAAAATACGACAAAATGAAGCCTTACCGGGGAAAAATTGGATAAAAACCCGATTTTCCGGGAAAAATCGCAAAATCTCAAAATTACAGTAGCCTGACTAACTTTGAACGACTACTACTACAACCACAGTGCTATTACACTACTTTTACAACACTTTTACCCAAGCTACAACATCAAAATCCTCAAGAAATCTGCATTTTTACCGCTTGGATTTGGTCCATATTCGCAATGTCACAGACGTCCATAGCCATAGGCAAGGCAGCCGAATCCAGTCCGATTCTGGCCTTCATGAGCTGAAATTCAGTTCCAAATTCATCCGCAGCGCCCCAACTTACAGCTTCTTCCAGTTGGAGGGCGTCAACTCCGACCTTATTTTTGGCCATGACCAACGAACGGATCTAAATTTCGGTGGTACAACGGGACAAATCACGCGTCATTTTATTTACAAACCAGTATACAGCCTTCCAATACCGTGTTTTACCCACAAACACCCGCAAAACTCAGGAAAAATACCTCTATGGGGGCATGAAGTTAGAGGCCGGGACATATATCAAGAAAATCGCAAAATTTTTCTGATTCAGAATACGTAAAACTTAGCTGCCCAATTTTCCTTTGTCAGGGCGAAGAAACCCTCAGAACTTTTCTCGCAACACCACGCGAATGCCTTTTTGACCAAGTTTCTACCAATTCAAAAGCTTTGTTTTGAACGAAAGTAAACCCTGGCATCTTGACAAGCCTTCAAATATCAAATTTGATTACAGTGAAGGACCTGATCCAGTGGGAAAAAACGTACCATTTTGCATCCGGGAAACATCAAAAATGTGGCAAAATATCTCCCTTTCCAAGTCAAAAACTCCGATCTCAAAAGCGCGCCCGCTCTTTTTGTGAGGGAAAGGGCCCTTCAAAACGAAGTTTTTTCACTTGGAGTGGGAAGCATTTTGCCACAATTTTGATGCTTCCCGGATGCGTTTTTTGCCACTGGATCAGGTCCTTCACTGTAATCAAATTTGATATTTGAAGGCTTGTCAAGATTCCAGGGTTTACTTTAGTTCAAAACAAAGCTTTTGAATTGGTAAAAACTTGGTCAAAAAGGCATTTGCGTGGTGTTGCGAGAAAAGTTCTGAGGGTTTTTTCGCCCTTACAAACCAAAATTGGGCAGCAAATTTTTACATATTCCGAATCAGGAAAATTTTGCGATTTTCTTGATATATGTGCCGGCCTCTAACTCCACAAGTCACGGAGGTACTTTCCTTGTAAATCTTTTCGCAAAAATTCACTTTTTAACTGATGGATAAGGTCCAAAATATTAAAACTATCCACTCTGTCGCCGCATTTTACAACAATAAGCTCACTAATTACAGTATTACTCGGTTAACAGCCTCCACTTCAAGCAAAACAAAATTTTAAGCGGGGTTAGGAGAGAAGCGGGCACAAAAAATCGAATCTCCTGGTTAATGGTGCAAACACAATGCGGGGAAAAACTACCGTAACCTTTTTTAGAAGCGAGCTACAATTGAACCAGTTGTATTTTACAAAAACATTGACCAATAATGTAAAAACTTTAAATTTTTGATATTTCAAGCAAGATTGAAAAAAGATTACGGAAGTTTTTGTTATAAAATGACTTGACTCACCTTGAGAAATTCCTCTTTATCAATTTTCTCATTGCCGTCGTCGTCAAAAATCGAAAATGCCACTTTAAATGAGGAATGGGACTCTAAAACAATATAATCCATTAAAAATTGGTAAAAAAATTCAATAATAGATGCTAAAACAATGTGAGAATGTGCGACAGACTTTTTTATACCATTTTCAATCCAAAAAGTCCCTTCATTCCAGGTAAAACAAGCAAAAAAAATTTCTTTTGTCCACCGGGATTCGAACCCGCAACCTTTTGATTTCCAGACTAACCAAAATTCCCCTGTACTAAATCTACACACGCCTAAAACTGAAGCCAAAAATTTCCAAAAGCACTCACTGGTCAATAAAGTCAGTAGAAATAAGTATTCAGCATAAGAAATGATCCCATTATGGCCAAGACTTCGAAACATGTCCTTGGTTCCCTTCTTTAGAGCCGGTGTTAGTCGTAACATCCTTTCAACGTCGCGCTTCTCCAAAACGTTGCGGAAAACTCGTTCTGAAAGGTTTATAATGTCAATTAGGAGATAACATGACATTGGAATTATCTCAAGGGCAAGGAGGTATCAAAAAAAAAAAAAAAAATTTTAGGCACACCCAGTATAATGTTTTTGAAATTCTGATTGAAAACAAAATTTAATCGGCATGTTTAACGTTCTATAACTTTAAACAGATCAGAAACTCGTAATATTCAAATTTCAGACATCTACCTAACTTATGGACCAAGCTGTGATCAATTTTTTCTCCAAAGATACCTTAAACCTAAAAGTCAAAATCTAAAGTAATATAAACCCGTTACCTCTAGGTTCATCCAGCACCAAACTGTCCAACAGATCCTGTGGTGTCATGTACACTACCCCGTTGTACTCCACCGAGGCAAATTTGGAGAATCTCTCGAGTCTTTTCGGGATTGGATGCGAGTCGTAGTAAACATCCGTCTCGGCACAAAAAGCTGTTGAAACTCCGACTGTTGCGCCAATAATTGTTGTTGGAATTGCGTAACACATCGTTCTATATCTTCTATTCGAGTTTTGATAAAACTCTTGTTGAGATTGCGACGAAAATCGGCGAAATCTTGCGAAACCCCGCAAAAAAGCGCGGTATTGATTGGCCATTTTGGAAGAAGCAGCTTCCAGAGTGAGGAAAAGAGCCTAAAAGTATGAAATAAAGTACGAAAAGCACTTACTTTTTGTCTGTATAACAATATTCACCAATTATTTGATGTATTTTCCAAGAAATTCGACCATCTTTCGTCAAATTTGGTGGAGAAAAATAATTTTCTTGTTTATTGGAAATTGCGCAAGCGCGCCCGAAGAAAGAGCTCTTGCGGGGAAGGGGAGATTTTATACGATGAAAAGTGTTGGGAAACTTCCTTCTTTCGGATTAGGCTAAAGTAGGGTGAAAAGAAGTGATCTGTTCAGTTTAGTACGGCAGTTAGAGTCTTGAAATCAATCTTTGAGCGAACTGGATGTCAGATTTATCGATTTATTTTTATCAATTTAATGTTTGACTTTATTTTAGGTGCAGGTGAAGAAAGATGAGTTTTTGGACCGGAAAGCTGATAATGGATGGTCAAACCCGCATGCGAGTAGCTAGATCAGGGTTTTTCTGACCCTTGGGAGCACTCGCCCACTTGATTTTTGTGTAAGTTGGATTTTTTATTTGATGTTTTCCGATTTTAGGTACCCTCAGAGAAGGATAAGGTAAAAGCTGCCCTTGCGACTTAGTTGTTCAAAAATAAACGCCTTATTTATAGAGATGAAGTCATTTACACGTTTTTTATTGCATTTGAACCTATGGGCATCTGTGTTTTGATTCACTTTTGACGATTCCTCGACTTCTCTGATGAATAACATAAAAAGTGCCAATTCGCTGCAAAAATTTCTAGGTGAGAAGTTCGATTAAGTTTCCTCATCTGATTCGCAAGCTAAACAACACATTTCATAGTTATATTTATTAGAAAACACTTTACAACAACATGAAAACGATGTTTAAAGCTAATTTGTAGAGAAATTATTGCAATCTTGAGCAAAAAACTGATAAAAAATACAAAACCCAATAAGAAATACTGAAAGAAAAGCGGTTATGGCAACAATGATGGTATTTCAAATCCTCTTTTGACTATTTATGGGCAGTTTTCCTAGTTATAGACTTATAAACCTTATAAAGATACCCGTGGAACTGTAACATTGCGAAATTTAGACAAAAAGCTGTTGATTAGAAGACGGTAGGCACTTATATTATAGTGGGAGATGTTTGAAAAATGGTGTTAAAACTTTTTCTGATAGAGATTTTCGCTTGGATTCGAAAAAATTGTTTTCGTTGGGCTGAAAACTAATGTAAATGTGGCTGAATCTTAGTAGTCATCGTAAGATTCTCGGTTGAATTGAGCCTTCTCGTATTGTGGGCGATTGCGCTTGAAGAATCCGCACTGAAAATGGCCAAATCAGTAAGTTATTTAGATTTTTTGTTATTCTTTAGGTCAAGTGTAATATAGATCCAAAAACATGTTGAAAACTCACCCTCCAGCAACAGTAGATGATCAACAGCAACAACAACAGACCAATCAAGATGGCCAGGAGCCACAACCACCATGGCAATCCCCAGCCAATCGATTCGGGGTCGATTGGATTCACGTTGGTGGTGACGGCGATCACTTGCGGCGGCGGTTGATATTTCGGCGCATATGGGAGGGAAGTGATCTGAGCAAAGGCTAGAGATGAGACTTCGGCTTCATGACTGTCAGAGTCGATCAGACTGTTGAGCCAGAGACGGGAGAAGACTTCGATCAGGACGTATTCATCAGCAGCAAGTTCTCCAATGTCACAGGAGATTTGGGTGCAGTTGAGACTGGCGCAGTTCTGAAATTAATTTAACGGTCAGCGGTTTAGCGAGCTAATTGTACTAGAAATGGCTTTGAAATCTCAATTTTTGCGGGTTTGATTATTTTTTCGCATAGAAATCTTGTTTTTCATTGTAAAAAGGCATCTTGGCCGTTTTAGTCGGTATAGAGAAGATCGTTCGATAGTTTTGCCTTCGAAACACTGATCTCTCATTTTCAGACAAATTGCTCTCTAAACTGTGAAAATTTTATATTCTTCTTGCTTACCAGATGGTTGGGGTTCAATGGGCCGCGATATTCATGGGCCTTTCCGACCTCCTTAGCTCGTTGGACAGCCTCTCGCATTTGATGTTTCTGCTCTCTCAGTTTTCTCTTCAAAGCATCAGGTTGTCTTCGATTCGCATTTCCATCCTTCTTTCTTCGAGCGGCCCTCTTCTTTCGGTAGTTGGATTCATACTCCTCGTCCTTGTTGTACTCTGGCTCATCTTCGTGCTCATACGGAACACGATCGTCCTCGAAATCCTCGCCTTCGTCAGCATAATAGCCGCCGTCGGCTTCGGTTCCGGCAACAGCTCCTTCGTCGTCATCCGGCAAGCTGGATTGAGTGGGAACGTGCTGATTGGAAATTGCCAAGCCGGCAGGATTGACGTTGGCTCCTTGTTTGACTTGACAACGCGCCTTCAATGGGTCGCTGACAAATGGCATGTCAATCAAGTAGAGCAAGGTCTTTCCTTTGTCAGAGAAACTAGGCCAGAAGATGTCGAGTTTAGCGCCGTTGATCACGCTAGGCCCTCGGTTGATGACTTGGAACAAGTGGGAAACCACTGGTCCGACTTCAAAATCGAAGGTAGCGGACTCGGCAAGGGTTCGGTTACGAATGGAATAGTCCACTTGCTCGGGGTTGGAACGGCCAATCAACGAGAGTTGAGCCTTGACTTCGATGGGGATTTTGACAGTCAAATCGTTATCTCCAGTGCTGCCAGACTCTTCGGGATTAGTTGAGTTCACGCTCATCTTAACTTCGACAAACTCTTTGTTGGCATCAACGTTTTCTCCAGTTAGTTTAACTCCAAAGTCAGCTCGTTCGTTGGCCGGTAGGGGATTTCCGACTTCACAAATGAACTCCTGAGGAGCGCTTTCGTCCTTCTCGACCTTAGTCTCATCGGTTGGAGTACAAGAGACCTTGTGCTTGTTGTCGTAGCTTTCAACTCCTCCGTATTCGAAGCCTTTGGGGATTTCGATCTTCATCTGTGTCAGATAAGAGTCTTCTCCTTTGTTGTCGACAGTAACGTTCAAAGTGACGGTCTTATCCTCCGCGCCGACAGTAAACTTCTCCTTGTTGGTCCTGGCACGGACTTGAAGATCAGGAACACAAACGTTGTCATCACCACAGTCTTTTTCGATCGTCAACTCGGTGACGAAGGCTTGAGGAAGTGTGGTGTCAACTGCCGGCTCTAATTGGCCGGGCTGCGCTCGTTTCTCTTGATAAGTGTAGTTGACGTTGATGAGAATGGGGCTGATCTTGTCTCGGATTGTCTCCGGAACATAGACGTCATAGGTCTCACAAACTTCACGGTTCTTGGTCAAAACGAGGTTCTGGGTTATAAGATCGGGTTGTTCGCGAGAAACGGAGGATTTGTCGATGGTGACTCCACGTTTCTTGTCGAGATCTTTGCGAGCAAAGAAGGCACGGGGCGATTGTTTGTTCTTGGAGTCCAGGTTGACTTGAACTTTGACGTCAACGTTGTTGTGTTGAGTTTTGCCGCCGAATTTGAGACAGAACTTGACTTTCTCACTGAAAATAGGTAATCTTTAGCCTAAATTTATCGTGAAGATGGATTTCTAATGCAACAGAAAGGTTTACTCTGTCGTTTTAAATGGTTCAAGTGGTCAACTTACCAAGGCAATCGTCCGAACTCGGTAACACAAGTTTTGTCATCCAAATTGATAGTCTTTCTCGTGGTTTTAACGAAACCAGTGATCTGAATCACCGGCTTGGTCTTCAGAATCACGGCTTTAGCACTGTCCATGGATCCAATAGCGATGTCAGGATAGTCGTTTCGGTCGACATCCGTGCCCGCAGCCAATGAAAATCCGAAGGTTCGGAGATCTCCAGCCACATCTCTGGCATGGATACGTTGAGTGTGCTCTTTGCGAACTCCCTCCTCACTTCCATGATAAACATAGACCGCTCCTTGACGGTTCTCACCGTCGTAGGGCGCACCAACAATGAAATCATTGAAACCGTCGCCGTTCAAATCGCCAGCGGCAGCCAACGCATGGCCGAATCGACCCCATTGTTCATGTCCTTTGAGTTGAATCGGCTCTTTGAAGGTTCGCGCGCCGGTTTGGATGTACACATAGACCTTTCCAATGTCGTACTGAGGTTTGTGTTCTTGCGTTTTGGCATCAAGAACGGTCTTATAATCGGTGTAGAAAGGACTTCCAACGATAAGGTCGACCTTTCCGTCCTTGTTGAGGTCGGTGGTGACAACTGCGGCGCCGTAATATTGCCCACGTTGGCCTTTGGGATCAGTGAGGTTGAGAAGAACGTTCAGTTTCTCATCGAGAATAGTGACTTGGCCGATCAAAGAGTTGGCACGAGGAGCTCCAACAACAATATCATCAATATTGTCACCGTCGAAGTCGCCGGTGGCCGAAGCGTAGCCTAGAAAAAAACAGAATGACTTGTAGGGCATTTCAACATACCAAGGTAAGAGTTGTCGGTATCAGCTGGTCCAGCTGGAGTCTCCGGCCGATCCGTTGCATTGTTGATGTTCTGACTGAACACCGCGCCCTGCCAATACCAAACTCCCGGAGCGGAGATGTACAATCTCTTGTCTCCGTTGTTGGGAATCGCGGCCGAAAAGCCGCACATTCCATAACCGAAACGATGACGGCCATGTCTGGCGGGCTCCTGACGGCACGGAGCGAATTCGGTGATCCTGTTGAAATTTTCGGTCGCATAGAAGCAAGTTCCAACCGGCTCGACCACTTCGAATCGGGAGAAGAAGTATTTGTAATGAGGAGCACAAGCGAGAACGCCATCGCCATTTTTACTGGCAATGACGGTCGCTCCGAACATTTGATAGGACTTTTCTTCGATTGGAAGGTTGCGAGAGCCGTTGAGACGTCTTTCGTTGCCTAAAAATGGACATGTGAGGGTTATTAATTTATTGCCTGAAGGCCTAAATGGCTGATTTGACTTGCCTGTTCGATCAAACACGATCTCAGCGCATCTGTTGGTAGTGGTCTCGCATTTGTAGACAGTACCACCTTTTTGGATGTCTCGCTGGTTGGTTCGGCCAAAGGGAGCTCCGGAAAGAAGCCTAAAATTAAATAAAACCAATAGTTGAGTTTTATACCCTTTTCTGATTGAGTAAATCACAACTTACTCAATGGTATTCCCACTCTTGTAAAAATCGATCGAATATCCGAACCCACTGGCCGGTTGGCCTCTGTGGATCAGCGGCTGTTTGGTGTCGATGTTAAATGCCTGCAGACACAGACAGTAGACGACCAACAGGAAGACGGCCCGTTGAGCCGACTTCTTTCCGGTCATCCTTTAACCTGGAACAACAAAAATTTTACAACCGAAAATGTTACAACGAAAGGAACGTTTTTATTATCTTCCTTGTAAACAAGGAGACGCGCAGAAAAGTTGCGAAAAATGGAATTAAAAAAAGCATAATTCAAGATGACCGATAATACTACTACCCGGGACAAAAAGTCCTGATAACACTGTGCAAAGTTATCAGGACTTTTTGTCCCGGATAGTAGTTCGTTCGCAAAGTCGCTGGAGTGATTTTGGCGACATGCACTTTGAGAAAACAAAAGTGCACCTTGCACTATGCAATTTTTTGCTTTTTGCACCGTGCAATAGGCTTTTTTCTGGAAATCACTCCAGCGACTTTGCGAACGGACTAGTACACGTTCATTGTCTTATATAAATCGTATAAAAGAAATTGACCAATGTTTGCTTAATCCAAATCTTTTTTTTCCCTTTATCCCCCACATATCGCTTTCGTTTCGCGGGATCCTGAAGGGCTTGCGGATGCTCTAATTAAAAACAAACACGTGCCTGGAGGCGGTGGGTGGTTTTTTGAGGGAATTGTAAAATACGTTGTGCAAATTTTGAACTTAAATTTGATAAATGGTAAAATTGAAAAGCAGGCGAATTTAAAAAAAATCTAAAATATGACTCATTTCCTTTGCTTGGGTTAAATTAATTAACCTTTGCGCATAGCGTATTAGTCATGAGGTTTTTTATAATTGGTCAAAAAAAGCAGTAAACATTGTCAGTTTGACTAATCGCTCAACATAATGACCAAAAATCAGAAATTGACATAAAAAATTAAAAATCTGCTGTGGCAAAAACACAAAGTTTTTTACAATTGGAATATCCCAGCTGGGGTTGCAATCGTGAGCTAAAATTTTTACTACAGTGGAACTCTGTACAACGAACTCCCATACAACGAAACCTGCCTTTAGCGAACAACTGCAAAGGCCCCAATGGCTAATTCTAGTCCATGGCGAACCCCGTATAACGAAAAAGGTCCCTATTAACATACGATTAGTTGTCAAGAGGTTTGATTGTGTGGCCGATCAGAAAGTTTCCCACAAAAAATCCCTTACAAAATCAAATTCAAAAAAGAAACAGTAGCGGGTTATCCTAGTTACATTATTTGTATGTCGGGAAAATAATGTGGATTCGTCGCGCCTTGGAATCGCCTATCATCGCTTTGCGACGGCTAACCACCGCTAGGAATTCGATCCGCGAATGTGGCGAGGCGAGAAATTTTACAAATCCACATTATTTTCCCGACAAGCTAATAAGAAACTAATTTTTTTTCAAGAAAGTTCCCTCCACTAACGAACTCCATAAACACATTTTTGCATCGCCCCAACGCCCCAAAGGTGAATGGCGACTCCAGGGCCGAAAGTCCGAGCCGTCGGGATCAATAGGCCCGGGCGATGCAAAGGACGCATAAAGAAAGGAAACGATGGATAACAGGCGCCCCTCAAGACAGGCCCCAGCTTCCAGATCCGATAGAGATTTTGAGGGGGAGATCCGGAGGCCCGGCGAAAGAGTGCGGCAAAAAACAACGAAATTCGAAAAGGCCGAGGTAAATTCGATCCGCCAATAGTAGTTTTTGGAGCGTTTGGAGGGAAATTGAGCAAACAAGGGAATTGCGGTAAATAATCGGCGAAACACTAGGAAAATGAAGGCTCTGGGAGCATCAACCAAGGGAATAGAACGGATTAGAAAAACGGAAATGTAAAATTGGCAAATTGATTGAAGTACAACTTTCAAATTTTAATCAAGCTTGGGCCAAATGTAATATTATTTTTTTGGAAAAGATATTCAAGAGTTTTACCTTGCGCAACCATCAAAATTTTTTGGTATAAAATTGCCAGAAAATTGATTTTCTTCAATTTTAAAAGTATAAAACTCTGGTATTGTATTAGATATCAGTCTGTCGGGAAAGTAATGAGCAAAGCTACCGCATTTGCGACGAAAAAATGAATTGTCTTCGAAACAAAGTCAAATTGCTTTTCACTTCATTGGCACAGCGATATTGTGCTCATTATTTTCCCGACAGCCCGGATGTGGACTATTTTTGCAAAATACTAAATAAATCCTTGCGCACAAGATTCACAAAGCTATTGTCGAGAACGAAGAGGGACGGTCAGTAAAAAATTGGCTGTGTGCCCTAAAAATCGCATAGGGCTTAACAATTTTTTTGGAGCTTACTCCGAGCCGCATAAAAATTAAAATCACAAAGAAAAATGCTTCAGGTAGTACCTCCTCTGTCAAAATAAACAGCCAATTCCGCCCGAAAACACTAATTACCTCCTCAAAATTTCCCTCAAATCAAAATCCGTCAAAAAAATCGCACTCGGAAATCGCTTCAACGCGCGCAAAATCTCCCCGAATACAAATGTTTTTCATATGTATTTTTTGCGAGTTTTACTCATCGCGCCCAAACAAAAAGCGGGAGGAGGATCGACCCGAGAATATGCCCGTTCCATTCGCCTACAACTCTTTTTTTTTGCAATAATTGACACAGATTTCAATGCAACAGCTGTTCCGTTCGGGCCCGCTCTCCGCGTTGGGAAGCGGTATTTCGGCGGCTTTCGGCGGGGGAAATGAATGTTTTACGGGGGGAAAACATATTGACTGGGGAGATTAATTAAGTCCGCACTGAAGGGGTTTGAAACCCGGAGGGGAAAAATGAAAAAAATCGGAAAAAATTTGATAAAATTGTTTCAGTCTGTCGGGAAAATAATGTGGATTTGTCGCTGCAAAATGTCTCGCGTTGTCGCAGTGCCGCACCAAATCTCCAGCTAGCCGTCGCAAAGCGGGTGGGTGATTCCCAGACGCGAAAAATCCACATTATTTTCCCGACAGACTGATAAAGGGGTACCTGCAAAAAATCTGAGATTTTTCCGTCAAAAGTTGAGGGATTTTTTCAGTTTGTCGGGAAAATAATGTGGATTTGTCACAGCAAAATGTCTCTTTGTCGCAAAAAAAAACTCCAGCCGCGCCTGCCGTTGCAAAGCAATGATGGGCGATTCCACGACGCGACAAATCCACTTTATTTTCCCGACAGATGATAAGGCCACTAATTTACAAATTTGGCACGAAAAAATATTGCTTTCTCAGTAATATAAAAAAGTTAGTTTTTCCGCTAGAAAAGAAGCAGTCATGACTAAGAAAACCCTTCCAGCAAAATGATGACACAAATTTTTTGGTGATTCGTTATAAAAGTCTGTGACAAATTGTAAGAAGAACAGAATGAGTAATAAACTAGAGTCGCATTTTTACCAAGCGAAAGAATGAGTCATTTTAAATTTTTTTGGATTTGATTTTTTTTAAATGTCTAAAAAATTGGTCAATAACGCAATAATATCTGTAAAATACGGCTACTGTGGTTGTTTATTTTTTTGCTCTAGTAAAATTTCAAAATTCAAAAAAGTAATGTTGCAAAAGATTTTTCGTTTGGTCGACCGTTCTAAGTACAACTATCAAGAGAAGTACCCCAACTGCGGCGCTCAGAATAGGCCAGATATCAATTCCTAAAAGTTTTAGCTAGCGCTTTGCAGACACACCGAGATATACAACGATATTTGCGGCCGAAAGAGTGCACGAAAGGCGGAGTCAGAGATAAAAACACTTCTTGGCCGTATCTCTCTTAGTTTGTCATCAAAAAACAGAATTTTTGTGGAAACATTACCCTCTACAGTAGAAATAGGCCTACAATTTTTGATGCGAAAATTAGCAAAAAAGTGTCAAAATTTTTCCCGACTTTCGATGTAAAAATCTACGTCGTTTGTGCAAAGCGCGAGCTAGAAATCTCGCATATGTCTTTGAAAAAATTAGTCTAAATTTGTGTCAACTTTCATCAAAATCTGGGCGTTGCACTTGTGTCACCTCCCTTGTAAAACTCAACGAAAACTTGACATTACTCTTCAATAAATAAATCAATGGGTCCATCAAGATTCCTGTAGCGAACGATTAATGCCCTCGCGGTGAATAAAATCCCCAAACGACCATCGATTTTTATGACAGTTCATTTTGGAAAAAAAACCCCTTCAAGGTTTTCTTCCTTTGACAAAAGAGCAAGAAAGAAAATCGGAACGGCTACTAGTATTCTCTCGAGGTGAATTTCTTTTGCAAACAGTTTTTTACTGCGTTAAAAAATTTTTTTGCGGAGACAAAGATTGGGGGAAAAGGTAAATCCATTTAGTTAATTAAGGGTTTTCAGAAAGGGGAATTTAACTGCGCGCTAGGGCAGTATTGGTCTATGGTCGGCTAGTGGCAATAAAAGCGGGATTTTTGGAAGTTGGCGATTTTGAAAATGAAAAAATTGTAAAATTGCGATCACGGATAAAAATGAGATTTTTGGAGTATTTCTCAGGTTACTGCGCTGAGATTTTCCACAGGAAAAAATTGAAAATGAGAATCTTGGATTTGTTTGGGCAAAAAAAGTAAAATATGGGAGGTTCTGAAAAATTGACCGGTCGATTTTCTTCGAATTTCTAGAACACATTCTCTATAGACGTAGTATAAATCGCTGAAAATTTTAGCTCATACTTTGCAGACGCAGCCGAGATATTCAACGATCTTTCTGCGTAAGGGTACGTAAAATGAGTACTCTCGAAGGTCGTTGAATATCTCGGCTGCGTGTGCAAAGTATGACCTAAAACTTTCAGCGATTTATACTACGTCTATCTAGAGTATGCACTCGAAATTTAAAGAAAATCGACCAGTCACATTTTCAGAACTTCCCATATTTTACTTTTATTCCCCGAACAAATCAAAAATTCCCATTTTTCAAATTTTTTCTTGTGGAAAATCTCAGCGCTGTAACCTGCGAAATTCTCTAAAAATCTCAGTTTTGGCTGTGATCGCAATTTTACAATTTTTTTTTAATTTCAAAATCGCGAGATTCCAAAAATCCCACTTTTATTGCCAGTAGCCGACCATAGACCAATCCTGCCCTAGTGCGCAGTTAAATTCCTTCGAGCTAAAATCTTCAGCGATATATACTACGTCTA